GTCGCTTAACCAACTGAGCCACCCAGGCGCCCACTCTAAATATATTCTGTGCCTTGCTTCTTTGGCTTATCATTGTATGGTTTTTAAAGATTCATTCGTGTTAATGAGTGGAGCTGTAATTTGGTCAAATTTTTTTTTCCTGTAGAGCATTCCATTGTGTGAAAATACTACAAGTTAATTATCCATTCTAATGTTGATGGCCATTTGGGTTGTTTCCAGTTTGGGGCTACTTCAAAACATTCTGTATGTGTCTTCTGGTTTCTGTGTGCAAGAGTCCCTCTAGGTAGTTCCCAGGAATGGAATTTCTCTGTTGTAGGGTATGCATGTGATCAACTTTACTAGGTAATTCCAAACTGTTTTCCAAAGTCGTTGTGTGCCTATATTTTTTAGATTGGTGCCACCAGAGGTAACCTGGGGCAGAGGTGGCATGCCAGCCCCAGGGCCAACCGACTCTATGAGCTTATTTTCAACAAGGGGAAGAAGTTGGCGAAAGAGGGTCCATCCTTGCTTCCCTTCCCCGGTGCCATAAACCACATGGTCAACAAACCTTTAAAGACAAGCTAAGAGCCGTGCATCAGCCAGGGCCTGGGAGACAGCACTGAGTTAGCACCAGACCAGCCTCAGAGACAGTTATGTTTCCACTTACTCTGCCAAGCCATCTGACACAGCTTTGCCCCGGAAGGCACAGGAGAGTGAGGGCCAGACAGGGAGTGGGAGTTTTCCTAAAGAGAGGACCAATATTCCGGGCGCAGGGATATGTGGGGCCCATCAGCACAGGTAGTATCTTCCCTCCTCAGGAGAGGGCAGCGGATCAATGGAGCAAGTACGGAGCAGAGGGAGGGAGGGAGGGAAGGAGGAAGACTAGGGCTATGCCTGGGACCGCAGAGATGGACACCGCCCCATCCAAACACACCTGTGCCCTCAAGCCCATCCGGGGCCAACCACACATGTGCACACACCACAGACACATGCACACGGCCACAGACATGCACCAAGAGACAGGCTGGTAGACAGGCTGCAGGAGCAGAGGCAAGGAGCGCCAGCCTGCGGCTGCCCTCGGGACATGAGCCCAGCCCTGGGGGCCCTCCGGCCTGGCCCGCCTGCAGAGTCCCCGAGGTGGCGCATCAGCCTGGGTTCCTGACAGGCAGGTTCTGTGAAGCAGAGTGTTTTCAGGACCACCTGGGGGCCCCACCCCACATGGCTGCTCCGTTTATGGGAATGGGGTAGTCGAGTCTCTTAGTCCACACTTGAGCCCCCTCTGCTGCTGCCAGGCTGGGCAGGGTTGGCGATGCAGTAGGTCCCTTTACTTGTGGAAGTAAAATTGTTTAATTAAATTTATCCTGGGGTGAAATAAGATTTGGAATAGGGGAAGGGGGAGCGCGTGGCTGGCTCAGTCCGTAGAGCGTGCGACTCTTGATCTCGGGGTTGTGAGTTTGAGCCCCACGTCAGGTGTAGAGACTACTTAAAATTAAAATCTTAAAGAAAAATAAATTAAATAGGGGAAGGAGGAATCTGAAAAGAGAACAGGCTGTATGGAGGTGAGACTCGCTGTCCTTCATCTTTGGCACGCAGCCTGCTCAGTCCCTCCTTGCTGTCCAGACTCCCACCACTGGCCCAGAGTGGAAGGGCATGGGGGAGATTGGGGCCACTGCAAGATTGCTAATTAAGGCCGAAGGTATGTGAATTTTGTGTAGCTGCAGTTGCCTGGGAGAGCAGGGATCTGCTCTCTAGGCTGAGACCACTTCCAACACCAGAGCTGGGGACGGTTCAGACTAAAGGATCCCTACCCAGCTAGTCAGACCCAGCAAGTGCCAGCCCCTCTCCCCACCTCTCACCCTGCTCCCACTTCCCAGGTACCCCTGGGCAGAGTATACCCTGTGGTCCTGCAAAGCTGAGAAGGAGGGGGTGGGAAATAGTTGGTCTTTGGGATCTCCATCTCCTGGGGTACACCGGCTCCCTGGAAGGCTGCCTGGCTCTGGAGTGAAAGAAGGTGAAGTCTCCCTGGAAAGCAAGTGGGGCCTTCCTTAGCCTTCTCCTTCTGTGCGGGCCTCCCAGGTGCTTGGAACCCTGCCACACACACCCCTGTGCCCCATTCCCAGACCCCTAGGAGCCTGTTGGGAGAGCTTCGGGTGCAGTATTTCTGCTCTCTCCACCTGATCACCCACACCTCCAATGGGCTGGAGCCTCTTGCCCTGGACTCCTGAGCCCTGGAGTGAGCCGTGGAGAGGGGGCAAGAGCCCCTGGAGTGTGGAGCCTGTTGTCAATAGGCAACAAGGCAATCTGTAAGTGAGGCTGTTAGCCCTCCCCGAGAAAAGGTCAGACAGGGAAACACTGGCTTCTCAGTGTTAGCTCTGGGCGTCTCCCTCACTAATGGGACCCTTCCTATCCCATATTCTGCTTTCCTTCAACTTCTATGTCCCCTCTGCTCCAAGGCTGGAAGCCCCAAGTGGCCACTCCTGTGGACTCAGCCATCTTCAGCTCCCCCACAAGGTCCTCTGATAAGCCCCTTCCCGCCACCTAACCCACCCCCAGCCTGCTTCTCTCTCCAGGAACAATCACCCAACTCATTTCCATGTGGCCTCCTGGAAACTTCATCTCTCTGGACCTTGGAGTCTGCGAGGGTTACCTGGGGTCCACCACCCAGCGGTCAGTCAATAGATGGACCTCCTGCCCCCCCCCAGTTGGTACACCCCAGGCTCAGCCTACTTGAGTGACCTGCCCCTTCACCCGCAATCCCCAGTTGAGTTAAGAATAACTGGCATTGGGGCGCCTGGGTGGCTCAGTCGGTTAGGTGACTGCCTTCGGCTCAGGTCATGATCCTGGAGTCCCGGGATTGAGTCCCGCATCGGGCTCCCTGCTTGGCGGGGAGTCTGCTTCTCCCTCTGACCCTCCCCCCTCT